TTTTTTTCAAAAAGACACATGTCAAAAAAAAAAAAAAAAAAAAAAAAAAAAATTTTAATGAAGCAATGAGGTTACAGACAAAATGACCCTGCCAGGTATCATCCTGACAAAGAAGGAAAAATGGCAACTTGTAACTTTCCTCTTTTATTCTACACAGACACTGAGTGATAATAAAAAATACTTACTTTTTCCCTGCTGAGGAAAGCTTGCTGACGACCCGTTAGCATAAAGAGAATCCCCTGAGGAGAGTTTCAGTCCTGAGTTTGCTGAGGAGTGGGTTCCATAGTTGAAATGGTTGTTTGACTCCATCTGAAAACACACAGGACAAAAGTACACGCGCGTGTTTAATCCACACTGTTGTCCTTTTTTCCCCCGGACATATGCGTCAGTAACACGAATACAAACACACTTGTCGTTTTGCTTTGGCTCAACGTGCATTTGCTCCGTCACTACAATCAGCATCACGCAATCCACGGAGCTTTTTTTCTCTTTCTCTTCCCCTAAGTATTTAAATACAGCCACCATTACGTAATTCGTACAATTTCCACTTGCCAAAGCCAAACTTTAAATCAATTGTCCAGCCGTAGCCTGTGACAGCACCATTTCGTTCCAACAACCAGCGTCAAAATGTCGCAGACTGGGGAAGCAGCAGATGCCAGGCCCAGGCGAGCAGTAATGGACAACAAGAATATTACGATAGTGTCTCATCATCAGCGCTGATGAGGCGCAGCTAACACGGGCACAGCTTCTTCAATCCCCCTTTAAAATGAAACTACCCAGAGGCATCCGTACCGAGGAGCCGGTGGACTAACACCGGGTGAATTGGCAGTGGTATTCCTGTAACTCCGAGGTCTGAGGGAGAGCCACATCGTCGCTTTCTGTCCAATGCATCCATACGCGTTTAAGACAACGTAGCCATCTATATAAACACGATTTTCTAATTCAACCAGGAAGGCCGACGCCGCGTTAGCATACCAGTGCTAGCTATGTTTTAAAACAATAACACCGTAAACCGCGTATGTTTCGCCAAACTATAAATCGGTGTCGGTATAAAAACTAGGTAAGAACAAGTTGGAAAACATTTTAACCCGTACAGGGGTCTATAACATTAACCATCTTGGTACCAACTTTTTCCGCTGAAGCATTACAATAGAAGCACGCTAGCCTGGCAGCTAACTAATAGCATCCTTTAATGTTTACCGGGTCGATCAGCGGTGGACTAGCCCAGAGCCATGCAGCAGATACCGCAAACCAGCTGGGTTACATCCATGTGTCCATCGGTTCCGATGAGCTCTCTGGGTGAATACAGTCCGACGCCGGTTGAGGTAACGCCTGTCGGTAACTGAGTCAGACTGGTTCGTTACAGACGGAGGCGTGCTCTCTCTTTTGTTCACGGGCTAACGTCAGCTAGCAGCCAAATGTAGTTACATTGTTTACGGTGCACGCACACAGAGCATCATCCCCGCACACTGTCGCCACCGTTTAAACTTTCCCCCACATTTCAGTTAAAAGCGGTCCAACCTTTCAGTCCTTTGATTCCGGAGGCGCGTCTGTCTCTAAAACTTCGTCCGAATAGTCATGGTGGTGAAAATGGTACGGCGATAAATACGTGAGGAAACACATATATATCCCCTAACCTTTGGGTTTTAAATTAGCAAACATGGCTGGTGTGTTCCAGTGCAGCCATGATCACAGAGCACCGCGAGTGGCGTCCGCCTCCAACAATAACCTCACACACATCCGGTCCCGGGTCTCCTCACAATTCTCTTCCCCTCACATACTACAGTACTACAGTACTACTACTACTACTACTACCACCACAACACCACTGCTACTATCACTACTACTACTCATGTTATAGCCTTACTGTATAGTATTTTACTGCCTTGAAGAGATGATAAAGTAGAATCGAATCTAAATCAAACATATTTTATAAGTAAATGTCTGCTCCAGATACAGAGTACATAGTGAGATTATGTGTAGAAATTAATTATATAGTTTACCTATACCAAACTATATAATTAATATCACACATTATTTTACTAATTGTATCTATTGTTATTATTTTTGACTGGCACATCTTCGTTGCATAACAAACGAATCTGCTCTTATTCTTTATTCAACATTTATTATATATTTATATCTACTGAAGTCGACTTAAAAAAAACTTTTTAAAAAAATAACAAAATGAATGTGTAGATAAAAATGTAAAAATGCCGAGTTAAATTATCAAAGTTTTTTTTTTCTTTTTTTAAAAGTACTGTACATGCTGCTCGACATGTTCTGGTCTAATATTGTCCGACAGTTGTACTTTTTGTTTGTTTACAATACCTTTAATAGAACTAATTACATCTGACTTATTGTAAACTGTAAGTTAACACTTTATGTTTACTTAATTACGTTTTCCAGAACCTCCACCCTTCATACAGGGTAAATAATTACCGTGCTTTTGTTTTATCGTCAGCGGCGGCAGGAAACTGCTGCAGCTAACTGCTAATGTCTGTAGCATCGACGACACATGACTGAGAATGTGGGGCCTGTGAGGAAGTCCGCTAACGTTCATGGTCCTAACGCCGCAGAGAGCACGTTACATGACGTCATGTCAAGTCACACCACCACCACAAAACGGTTCGAGTAGAATAACCCGCCTGTAATTATCACCATTTATTTTCTGATCCTTTGTTTCATGTTCATTACGTTCCGGGTCAGAATGAACATTTAACGCCGCCGATCGATCAGATCAGAAAACAACGGCGTCAGAGAGAGCTCTGTTGTCACCTACCTGAGGAGATGGGCTTTAGAAATGCTCAGCATTTCACTTGCAAGTAAAAACCACATGAGACAAGATGGACATTTTACGGAACATTACGATGCTTTAATGTGTTTTTATCACGGCTTTGATCTTCACTGTTTTAACCCCCTATGGGTTGTTTTTTGTTAATGTATCCTTCATAACACTGTAAAAAATAAAAAGATCTGTTAAATTGCAGTAAACCATTTTCCAGTTTCTGGAGATACATTTTGACCAAAGTTACTTTTATTACTAATTAATGTCCTAAAATAATTTTAAAGCCTGCACTTGTGAGAATCACTGATGTTTTCCTGTAGATGTGTCTTGTTTTTCTTCAGACCCAGAGTTTCTAGAACTCTCCTCAGACTCCTCTGGTAGTCATTAGTAACGATTCCCTTTGTTTAATTGACTCCTCTGGTAGTCATTAGTAACGATGTTAAATAATAATAATACACTTTATTTCACAAGCACCTTTCATGTGTTAACCAGACACTGAACTACAAGTCCACCTACACAAACTCTTCATACAGAGTTCTCCTGTACACTCTGATGTCATAACATTATAATAATCTCCAGCTATTTCTCATTTGGTTTGAATATCATCTTTGAATCTTTTCTAAAAACTTTTTTGTTTAACAAAAAGAAGCCATGTATTCACCTCAACATATACCAGTTTCAAGAACGAGTTTAAAATGATTCTTAAACAGTTTATTAGAAAGATGTAGACAATAAAAAAGAATTTCCACAGTTATTTAACATAAGTTGTCTCCCCTCACAGTTTTATTGACAGAGCAAATATAATTTGGTCATTAAACATTGCTGCATCTTTTCAACACTTCCTTATCGACAGCACAAGACCTATTCTAGTGGAACACACGCAACAAACCTGGAAAATAGCCACGGACCAAAGAAGGCTGAGGCCCAAACAAACCTCACGCGTCTTTTGTTAGTCGTCAAACAAATCCGCTCTGCCTCTGCAGTCTAACGCCAGTCTGTGTGTGTGTGTTAACTGCATATGACGAGAGAGCGTATTGAGATACAGAACTCCAATTATCACTGTGTGATGTTCACTGGGAAGATGCAAATATTCCTGCAAATATTACAAACATTAAACAAGAAGTTAGGGAAAACATGAAAGCTGGAAGGTTAAGCTACAGACACAGACTGGCATCCTGGAGGGAGGGAAAAAAAAATCACATCACCTGATAGGATTTGGAGTAATCCAATCAAAATGCACAAACCTTTTTCGATGTACATGGTCACATCTAGTGTTTTCTTAAAACCATGAGAGAAGACTAAATCAAATTTTGTTTGAAAGTAAACATCAGAAAACGAGGGCCGAATTATTCCAAAACACAATTAATTCAAAAACAAATTTTTTTTTCTTCTTCCGCATATTGCTCAAGTGAAGACAACTGCAAAGATTCTCCAACAAATGATGTGTGTAGTTGTAATATTTAACAGTAAATGAAGATACTAAGAAGGTGCAGTACAGCAAATGGAAGTGGAGATAGCTGCTCTGTACAAAACCATGCATATCAACCTTCACTGGACAGATCGGTCAGGAGTTTGGATTTAAATATGACTACTGAATCATATGTACAGTTGTTTGTAACTGCCTTCAATTTTAAGATAAACATTTGTTTAAGATTCCACATCTCTTCTTCCGTTTCTTCCACAGTCTTTAGGTTGACTATTCCAAATCTGGCATTTCTGTAATAAAAGAAGGTATTTAGTCAACAATCCAGATGAGAACATGTGTTTAAAAGAAAAAAAAAACTCAAATATCAATCAATACTCAAATATCAAGTGTGGTGTGATTTGTGTTTAACACTTGTATCCACTTACTTTCATCATCACTATCTGCAGAGTCATCCTGAAACAACAAAAGACACACAGAACAAACATCAGTTACACAGTCGTTCTTGTTGTGACCACAACTTTATTGTTAGAAATCAAGAGAAAATAAAGAAGTCTCACGTCATCTGGACCGTCTAGATCTAGGTCTTCGTCTCCTCCCATGTTGTTCATCAGCTGTAATGTTAGTGCACAAAAAATGAAAAATCATACATTTAATACATCTTTGTTAACATTTCCTGGATGACTATGAGAAAAAAAAAAATCAAAGATAGATAAAAATGGTAGAAAAATGTGACTTTAATACAAAAACAGTCAACAGGTGCCACTGCAGACTCTGTTCAACTTACCTTTTAGGGAATATTTAAGGAGATACAATGAGACAAAGATGTAAATATAGTTTAATTAAAGTCCAGACTGTGGCAAACCTGACGGTATAACCACTAACACGACTTAAAAAATAAAGAAAAATGTGGCTCAGTAACACATTCAATGTGACCTTGTGTTTCACTGGTGTGCTGTTCTCTGAACAACACTCCTGTTCCTGCTTTTAAAATATTCATATACATTTTATTTTATAAAAAAATAGAAAATAGAGCTACTTTTGTTGCAAGCTGAGAAGATTTTGATTTTGTTTTACACAATCTTACATTTCAGACGTATACAAATATCAAGTGTTTTTTTCCCTCCACAAACAATCACATTAAAAAAAGCTTTTTTCAACATAATCTTGAACATTTTACTTACATCTGAGAATTGACTGGAGTTCCCCATCTCCTCATCTGAGTCATCCTCGTAGTCTTTCCAGTTGTTAAAGTCAACGCTCAGCCAGCTCAGCTGTGAAAGAAAAAAAAAGAATTGAATTTCAAGCCAACACGATTTGGCATTCCACAGTTGTGGCTCATTTTGTAGTATTTTTTTTTACTGAAAGCTTCTTGGATTTGTGTGTGTGACCGACCTTAGCCTTGTCTTTTGTTAGTCTCAACCATGGTGGCCCTGGTTGTGCTTTTCTTAA